AGAATATCTGTGTTATACTACCTTTTGTGTAAGAAAGAAGGGGACATAAAAATATATACATGTATCTACTTTTTATTGTAGAAAGTCAACTTGTAAATATGGATAAAACGACGTAATTAGGGGGAAATTGCCATTTGGCAAAACCAACTTAATTGTTATTGCTCCTGGCGAGAATTATCAATAGATGCTGAAAGTAGTAAATGAAAGTTTGAAGAGTTAACAGTGTGTTTCCAGAGCCTCAAAGTATCTTCCCACAGATACTTATTAATTACAAAGGGTGGGCCGGTCCCGTGGCTTAGCGGTTAAGCGTGCGCACTCCGCTGCTGGCGGCCCGGGTTTGGATCCCGGGCGCGCACTGATGCACCACTTCTCCGGCCATGCTGAGGCCGCGTCCCACATACAGCAACTAGAGGGATGTGCAGCTATGACATACAACTACCTACTGGGGCTTTGGGGGATAAATAAAATAAATAAATAAAAATAAAAAATTAATTACAAAGGGTAACTTTACAGTCGGTAAACCTGGCAGACACAGCTTTAACCAAATGGTCCAAGTTTACATCACCAGTAACTAGACTAATCAACAGCAAGTGTCTCCTGATATGATGCACTGAGAAGCACTCAGCATCGCTTCTGTGATAATTTTACCAAAAGGGCATAACCTGAATCTAGTCATGAGGAGACATCAGACAAACCCAAATTGAAGTGTCATTATAGCGAGTAACCTGTACTCTTTAAAAATGTCAATGTCATGAAATACAAAGACTCAGGAACTGTTTCAGATTCAAGGAGGCTAAATAGTCGTGACAACTGAATGCAGTGTATCATCTTGAATTCTCTTTTGCTGTAAAGAGAGCATTATTGGGACAAATGGTGAAATCTTAATAAGGTCTGTAGATTAGATAATAGTATTGCATCAATGTTAAATTCCCGAATTTGAACCTTTTTTTTTTTTTTTTTTTTTTTTTTTTTTTTTTTTTTTCCCCCCAAAGCCCCAGTAGATAGTTGTATGCCATAGCTGCACACCCTTCTAGTTGCTGTATGTGGGACTCGGCCTCAGGATGGACAGAGAAGCGGTGCCTCGATGCGCACCCGGGATCCGAACCCGGGCCGCCAGCATCGCAGCGCACGCACCCAACCACCAAGCCACAGGGCCGGCCCATGATCATTGTACTATGGTAGATAAGAGACTTCCTTATTTTTTAGAAAATACACACTGTATTTAGGGGTAAAGGAGCATCATGTCTACGACTTGATGTCTATGTCTTAAATAGTTCTGAAATATATGTGTATATATAAATATCTATATATGCGTATATGTGTGAGTGTGACAGACAGGGAGTAGAGAGAGTGAGAGAGAAAGGGAGAGCATTCAAATGTAGTAAAAGGTATTTGAGAATTCTTTGTGCTATTCTTATAAATTTTTTGTAAATTTGAAATTATTTGAAAATAAAAAAATATGACATCTCAAGGGAAAAAACCAAACAACTTAAAGAATGAAAGAATTTGCTCAGTGAAGTTTGAAAACTGGTTTTGCAAAAATCTGTTTGGGGTAGGCATATAATATACTTCTGTATGGCCTTTGAGATATTTTTAGGAACTTTTTTGTTTGATTTTAGGGGTAAGTTTGATGTATATTAAAGAACATTTTAGTTTAGTTAAATAAAATGAAAAATTAATGAGAATGTACATTTTTATGCAGGTAGAAAGTTTGTTTAGGATTTTTGGTCATAATGGCTTGCCGTGTTTGTGATTTGGTCCTCTATCTATTCCAAACACATGGTACTGATACATAAAGTTTTCTAAGAGAAAACTTAAAGGAAATAGCCATGTGTAAAATCAGTGTAAAATCATCTATGGACCAGAAACTAAACAAAATTACAGTGCTAATTGGGCTAAAACCACAGGCCTCCTGTGTTCTGGGTTCAGAAACAAGCATTGGTAACTGAGAGCTCATTTCTTATGGAACAGTAGAGACTAAAATTGTCACACTCTGGGCAGGAGGCTGGAGCCAGCCTCTTCCACCTGTACCCCTTTAAAGAGATTCAAAAAAGCTATAATTGCTACATGGGAAAGGGCCTGTATAAACCTGGGAGTATGAGAGGAAGCAGACAGCCTTGTAGCCAGGACTTAGTGGTCCAAGCTGCTCATGGGTTCAGTGACAGCCTCTGTGATATCCCCAACATCATCAGGAATGGAGCCTTAAGTCATTTAATATAAGACCTGACTCTGGACTGGGACCTGTCCCCAGGAGGGAGTGAGGGAGTAAACAAATGGCAAGAGTGAAAACCTCCACCTGAGATGAGTCTGCACACTGAAATTCCAAAATATATGGGGAAAGCCAGTGCTAAGAAAGACAGCCAATAAACCCAGGAATTGAAACATAAATTTACTGCAGAGAAAATGAAACTAATTAATTATTTTAAATTGACTTTGAAATAAAGTTTAGGATCCTCAGGGAGATAAAGAAAGGAATAGTAGTTATTAAAAAAGAGAACAAGGGGCCGACCTGGTGAGGTAGTGGTTAAGTTCACGTGCTCTGCTTTGGTGGCCCAGGGTTCGCAGATTTGGATCCCAGGAGCGGACCTATGCACCGCTTATCAAGCCATGCTGTGGCAGCGTCAACTATAAAGTAGAGGAAGATGGACATGAATGTTAGCCCAGGGCCAGTCTTCCTCAGCAAAAAGAGGAGGATTGGCAACAGATGTTAGCTCACGGCTAATCTTCCTCACACACACACACACACACACACACACACACACACACACACGAAAATTGGGAAACAGAAACAGGCAAAATGAAACAAAACCATGTGTATACCTTAGAAGACCAACTAAAAGTTCTAGAAATAAAAAAGTTACTGAAATTTTAAAAAACTCAACAGAGAGAATAAACTCTAGACCAGACATAGTAGAATAGAAAATTCATAATTTGGAAGATAATACTACGAGTTTAAAGATAAACAGATAAAAACTATGAAATCACAGGTAAGAGACAGTGAGAGGCTACAATGTGTATCTAATAGAAGATTCAGAAGAAAAGGATAGAGAGAATGGCAAAGCAGCAGTATTTTTAAAGATATCGGCTGAGAATTTTCTAGAATTGACAAAAGTTATAAGTCAGATTAAAGTGCTGTGCAAGATAAATAAAAAGAAACCTACATGATAGACACATTGTAGAATCTGCAGAACATTAATGATAAAGAAAATAGCTCATATGAATTATAATAATGATTAACTCCTTTAAGAATGGCAGGAGTTTGATAGCTGGCTTCTTGACAACAATGATAGGTGCCAGATGACAATGGAGCAGTATCTTCAAAGTGCTGAGAGAAGCTAAGTAGCAACCCAGAATTCCTCACTTGGTTAAACCATCACTCCAGAGGGTAAAATAAAGATACTTTCAGGCAGATGAAAACCAAGAGCATTTATCACTCACAGGCTTTTGTGAAAATGACTGGTCTGTGAGTATTCAGAAATTCACAATTCGGAAATCAAAAAAGCTTAGAAAACTGAAGTTGGTTTTTGGTAAGTTTTCAGCAAACTCATTTGGGAGCAGACTTGACCTGAACTAGTTTGTGAGGCCAATTTTGGTCTTTATTTATCCTACTTAGTGGGAATATACGTTTCACTGTGGAAATTTTAATATGCTTGACTGTGGGCTGCTACCCCAGTCCCACTGGAAGTGTTATATCACATCTGCTTTGTGCAACATACTACCTTTATAAAATAAAAAAATTTGCCAATTCCAAAACAGAGAAGTCTCAAGGATTTCAGATAAGTGGTTGTAGACCTTTCTTTATCTTGAACAATTTTCTTTTTTTTTTAATTTTTTTTATTTTTTATTTTTTCCCCCAAAGCCCCAGCAGATAGTTGTATGTCATAGCTGCACATCCTTCTAGTTGCTGTATGTGGGACACGGCCTCAGCATGGCCAGAGAAGCGGTGCGTCAGTGCGCGCCGGGGATCCGAACCCCGGGTCGCCAGCAGCGGAGTGCGCACTTAACCGCTAAGCCACGGGGCCTGCCCGATCTTGAACAATTTTCAACTTTATTTTTTTTCCAGTTTTATTGAGAAGTAGTTGATATACAACACTATATAAGTTTAAGGTGTGCAGCATAATGACTTGACATGTATATATTGTGAAATCAGCCTTTTTTTTTTTTTTGCAGGTACATGAAATTTCCATTTTATGGTACAGTTTCATATCATACTAGTTCAAATGCATTTCTCTATAACAACTCCAACATAGCTCCTTTGGAATTATTTCAGTCATCCTTAACATGTGACTTTACCAAAGATTTTGAATCTAAACAAATATAAAATTTCAAATTATTAACTTTCAAATGAATGGGATAAGAAATAAAGTCATCAGATGATGGTTGGGGCTGTTAATTTTCCAACAAGACACTATGTAGAAATATTTCTTCTGATACAGCAGTTATAAATTAGAACCTTCAAAAAACAAGGGCAGAACGGAAGTACAATGAAAGAAGCTTCAGCACTTTAACCTCCCATGTTCCTAAGCCTCTGACACAAAGCAAAGCATCTTTCCTGCAAATTAAGTGAGTTTCCAGTATTTCCATGCAGTTGAGCTTTCACTGACAGATGCTCGAGACATATCATTAATATACATTTATATATATATATACACCATCTTGGCTCTGGCTGCATTAATTTTGCCTGAAGAGTTTAATACCCATCCAAGTCCAAACGTGGAAGAATACATAAACTGGTATGGTAATGGAAGAATACATAAACTGGTATGGTAATGGGCAAGAGCAGACTGTGAAAGCACAGGCTGGTGGTGCTAGTGCAGCCCTGTGGGAAGTTTTCTTCCACAGAGGCCGAGTAGAACAGTCCTGCTAAAGAGACCAGGGGAATAAGGACAGTCAGTGTAGGAAGAGACAGAAACATTCTTCTCCCCCACTTATTACCCGTACCCGCCACCCTGACTTTTTAAAAGGTGGAGGGTATTTAGTTGGCGTGTGTGTGGTGGTGGTTTTAATTATAATCTAGTGCTGCTCCATTTCTTCTTCCTTCTTATTTCGATGTGTCATCCTAGCTGCCTGTGGTATCATATTAGGAATCCCATCAATAATTGGATGGGCTATTCCCAACTCTTCATTAATCAATTCATTTGTTGATGCTTCACATCTGAGCGGCTTCTTGGAGAGCGGGCACACCAAGAACTCCAGCAGCGCCGGGTCGAAGGCGCGGGCCGGCTCCTCCGTCCTCTGCGTCCGCTCGCTCTTGTCCGCCGACCGCCGCGCCCCGGACGCGCGCAGGCACCGACGGACCAGGGCGGACGGCGGCGCGCGCGCGTCCTAAAGTTTTCTAAGAGAAAACTTAAAGGAAATAGCCATGTGTAAAATCAGTGTAAAATCATCTATGGACCAGAAACTAAACAAAATTACAGTGCT